GCTGAAAAAGATCTGGGGGTTATGGTGGATCACAAATTGAAGATGAGTCAACAATGTGATGCGGTTGCTAAAAAGGCTACTATCTTTCTGGAGTGTATTAACAGTGGTACTGAATAAATAATTGTCCCACTCTACTGGGAGATAATTGTCCCACTCTACTGGGCACTAGTGAGTCCTCAACTAGAGTGCTATCTCCAGTTCTGGGTCTCACACTTTAAGAAAGATGTGGACAAATAGGAGAGAGTCAAGAGGAGAGCTACAAAAATAAGAGGGTGGACTTGATAATTCTTCCAAGTATGTTAAGGGCTGTTATAAAGAGGACGGTAATCATTTGTCCTCCAAGTCCACTGAAGGTTATAGTAGTAATTATAGTAGTAATTGTTTTAATCTGCAACAAGGGAGGTTTAGGTTAGATAATAGGAATAACTTTCCAACAATAGGGATAGTTAAGTACTGGAATAAGTTTCCAAGGGAGGTTTCAGAGTGGTAGCCGTGTTAGTCTGTATCAGCAAAAACAATGAGGAGTCCTTATGGCACCTTAGAGACACGTACTAATTTCCCTCTACTGTTACTCACACCTTCTTGTCAACTGTTTGAAATGGGCCACCCTCATTACCACTACAAAAGAGATTTTTCCTCCCTTGGTATTCTACTGTTGAAAATAGCCTACTTTAATTGAATTGCCTCGTTAGCACTGACCCCCCATTTGGTAAGGCAACTCCCATCTTGTCATGTACTGTGTATATATACCTGCTACTGTATTTTCCACTCCATGCATCTGATGAAGTGGGTTTTAGCCCATGAAAGCTTATGCCCAAATAAATTTGTTAGTCTCTAAGGTGCCACAAGGACTCCTCATTGTTTTTTCCAAGGGAGGTTGTGGAATTCCTGTAATTGAAGGTTTTTAAGAATATGTTACACAAACACTTGTCAGGGATGGTCTAGGTATAATTGGTCCTACCTTTGTGCAGGGGGCTGGACCAGTTGACCTCTCAAGGTACCTTCCAGTCTTACATTTCTATGATTCTATAATTCCTAGCATCCTCTTAGTTGGTAACTGTATAATTTACAGAATATATCACCACCTCCCTTTCAGTCACGTCTTTTACAGTCCCCCTGCTTTCCTACTTGTTCTGTATCTTCTGGGGATATTGGTTGCTATGGAACTGACTGATGCTACATGTAAGGCAAAATGATTCTCAAACATAATGTAACTGGGTCATTTTTTGTGATGTTAAAAGTCAAGGTGATTTGTAATCTGCAGCAAAATATTTGTACAAATAAAAGAGTCTATTTTTGTCACACGTTATCTGAAATGTAGGGGATGTCTTGTAGGTTGCAGAATTTTACAAGAATCTGTGGCCAGGAAACCTTACTTAACTTTAATTCTGTCCTTAACTTTTAAGTGCTTGTCTTTGCAACCTTTATGTTCTAATTAATGTTTTTTCCATGTGAATATATAAAACATACAGAGAGAAAGAATACATGATTGTGTTGTGCAATATAAAGAGGTGGTCTTGGCACAAATTTGGAATGGCCACATTACTCGTGGATGGTGAAGCCATGAGCAAATTATGCCGCTCATCCCAGAAATAGCTCTGATGGTGTCAGAGGGAATCTCATCCAGTTTTTAGGAGCAGTTTGGTGACCTTGTTAAAGGTGAATACGAGGAATTGGTGGAGATACTCCTATTTGTGGCATAGAGAACTCTACATCAGAAAAATACATTGCACCCACAAGCTTTATCATTAATTGCCAAGTCATACTTGTGGATATCCAGTTTCATGGATAAATGTAAAATGCCGAACCAGCTCTGAGGGACCACTTGGACTGAGGAATACTCATGTCATTTTCAGTGATCCTTCGAAATGGCATAGGTTTCAGTGCTGTGGGACTGTCATTTCTCAGTGCCAAATCTGAACGAATTACCAGGCAAAGGGTCTCATCCCTACATTGACACATGGCAGCAATATTAGAAATTGGGTGGAATCCTGAATGCAAAGAAATTAGCAGCTCCTGGAAGGTGACACTTGTGATTCTCACCACCTTTTTCCTTCCCTGCTTGTCTCTGCGTATATATGAATCCTCTGACCCCCTGCCGTATTAGTCTTATTTGCATAAGCATATTATGAGGTACTGTAGTGCAATATTGCATTTTCACTAATTAGACTAGGGACATACTATCTAAAATTAATAACATCGGAATAGATGATATTATGTTCACGAAAGCAAGCCTGAATCTTTAAAATTGCATTAACCCTTTTATCCCACTAGTATAGGTGGAGAGCTGGTTCCCATGTTCAGATTGGGCAGGTGCTTCAGGCACAGGACCCAGGATAAAATCCAAATTTGGGGCTGGGGATATTCCTTTACCAACAGCATCATGTGATGGTCCATTCCCCATGACACCATACAGAGGAGAGAACTGGCCCAACAAATCGTTTTGAGTATAGGTCTGATTTTAGGGTTGGAATCCCAATTAATCTCTTGGTTCTACACAGCTCTTCCTAGTAAAAAAACAAAAACAAAAAACAATAATTCTGAAAAACACTTAAGGTTCATTTATATACCTACAAAATTACCTACTGTATGTGTGTGTCTAGGTAAGAAAGAAACTAGATTTCTTTACTAAGCACTGTAGCTTGGTAATGCACAATATGACAATGGCAAGAGAGAAAAGATGAGGCAAGGAAGTGGACTATTAAAGCCAGTTTTTTTACAACATGGCTTGTGTTTGTGTATCTGTAGTGACTTGCTCACTAAGGCCCTTACTCTAGTTTTTCTTATGATGATTTATGCCAAGGTAAGATCAGAATCCGTCGCTGAGTGTTTTGTGCACTATCACTTCCATGTGCAAATGGTAGTGCATAACTGTGTAAATCCTATTTGTGAGAGCAATTGAGTTTTGTGCATGTACATTTGATTGCATCTGTGTGCAAGTGACAGTGCTAAAAAAATAGTGTGTATGCAAGTGATTGCACATATAAAGTTTCATGCATACAAACAGAAGCTAGGCTGAGGTCCCTTCAGAAAAAAACCTTCATTTTCATTTAGTACTGTTCAAATTTCACTCACTTTGGGACTTGTTTTGAGACCACATGATGATATTTCTTACCTTACTGCCTAAAATTTTAATGGGACAGGTTGCTTCAGTATCTGCCATCTGCACAGGGGTGTAAAGGTCTGTCTGTGGTGCTGAAAACTGATAGGGCACAGCTTTCATCTATATTCTGTTTTAAAGGGAATGGAGCAGGTCATCTTATATCAGCAGAGCTCTAGTTATAGTGTAAATCAAACTTGTACTGTATATTAGAAGAGAAATGCATTATAGCAGTCCAGCCCAAGCAGCTATTCCTAGCCTTTCCTCTCCCACTTATCCAAATTCCAAGTCATGTTCAGGCATTTGTTTTGCAATGGAAAGGTTTTTCCGAGGGGGAGGAGAAATTGGCTCTTCTATGCAAAAAATATCTCCGATAGTAATTCAGAGGTGCTAGTGAAGTGATCTGAAACAATAAAATAAACCTGCTCACTGTTAGAAATCAGAGAGAGCTTTATACATGCCTGCCTGGTGCTAACTTCTTCAGCGCTTAGCATGCTGGCAAATTCTGAATCCATCCGTGCCCAGGCCTCCCACAGTCAAAATTTTAACTGAAGCAATGGGAGCCATGCTTGAGTGAAAACTGAGTGAAGACTTCAGGACTTAGTGAATGCTCTGTAAGACATTAGACAGGAGGAACATCAGACATGAGACTAAGGTAAAATTTTCAAAAGCATGTGACTTAAGAGCCAAAGTCCCATTTTCAAATGTGGCTTTTGGCATTTAGGAACCTATGTCTTATTGAAAACCTGAAAGATGCATTGACTATGTCTACACTATAAGCGCTACGGTGACTACAACAGTGTAGATGCTTCCTACAGTGATGAAAAGAGTTGTTCTGTCAATGCAGGTAATGTACCCCCAAGAGATGGTAACTAGGTCAACAGAAGTATTCTTCTGTCACCCTAGCCAGGTCTGTATCAGTGCTTAAATCATTTGAACTATGGTGTTCCGGTGTTGAATTTTTTCACATACCACCTCCACGTGGTGTAAGTAGGTCAACCAATATTTTAAGTATACACCAGACCTTAGGAACCTGAGTGTCTTTCACTTTTAAAAATGAGATTTTGGCTCCTAAGTCACTTTACGTACTTTTGAAAAAATTACCTGAGACTTTGTGGAAAGGCTTTGAATTTTGTCCCATTTTTGGTCAAAAAGTTTCAAATTTTTGTTGAAAATTTTTGAAATTCCATCCTTTTCCTCCTCATTTTTGACCAGTTCTGTATGATGCCACATGACAGCAGTTAGGAGTGATAAGAAGTGGAGTGAGATGACATTTGGTAGGAAGGCCTTTGTCAGCTTTCAAAGTAAAGGGTTATACCAGTTTCTTGTCCCATTGTTCCCAAGTGACCAACATTTTGAAATGTGGACCTGTTGACCAACATAAGACCTCCAAACCCCGCTAAATATAAAGAGATGGAAAAACATTTGTTCTGTCTCCTCAGAGTTGGTCGTTTCTGGGAATGGCAAACAGAATTGTTTCGCTTTGGTCTGAAAATGAAAGCAATGTAAAATACACTTGGGGTTTTGGATTAAAAGTGTATTTTAATTTTACCAAGACAGACACACTTTCTCGTAAAAGGATTCAACAAGGTTGGAAAGGCTGGTTTAATTTTAAGTATATTCAGTGAAGCTGGGGCCTCAAAGAACTTACTTTTTGATTCAAGCTTTTAGAAACTTTAGTACATTTCTGATGTTGGCTTAAAAACAGCATTTCAGATGTCTGCTCAAGGCTGCCTCCATATGGTTCTATTATAACTGGCCCCCAATAGTAGTTCTTCCCCCATTGCAAGAACTAGCGTCAGGAAGATTTTGGAAACTTGTATCTATAAAACAATATGTCTCTAATGAAGCTTGTTTTTCACCCCTTCTCTTCCTTCCCCCACTCCTTTTTTCCCGTTAGTCGGAAGTATCCTGGATCCCCAACAAACACTACTCTGGGATTTATGGGTTGATGAAGCTGGTTCTGACAAAGACTCTCCCTTCCAGTCTCGAGCGAGTCATTGTCCTCGACACAGACATAACCTTTGCCACTGACATTGCTGAGCTATGGGCCGTCTTTCACAAGTTCAAAGGTATTCTAATGCCATTTTTAATGCTTCTTTTGTAAACTAAGCTGGGGGAAAGCTGACATTTATTTTTAAATACTTCTTCTCTTGCGGTTTCTGGTGTTTGAATATGTGTACTCTGCTTGGTACTTTTCTTCACAACAATGCAGGCTCAGTTGTCAACACTCATTTGGAGCTGTTTTGTTCTTCCTATTATTTTGGTGGTGGTGGGGAGTTCAGGAATAAGGTGGATAGTGCGGAGAGGAATTTTTACCTGCTGTAATGTAATTCTAGGCAACTTTAAATGTTTAACACTCAAATAACCTCATTATTTCATATTATTTTTATTAATAAATCCAAACAGATTGTTTTAAACATAGCCTCTATTTGTTATCACTGCAAATGAGGAGAACCTACTTGGAGTGATGCAAGGGAGGACGGATTATTGCCTGCAATTATGTGAATGAAAGTAAAATATTTCCTGCTTCTGTTAATAAGTTGATAGAGGCATCTGCTGGATATAAAGTGTCTGGAGTAGATTCCTTCACTCCTATTCACTGCCATTACCTCCCTGAAGTCTGTCACATAGTTTGACAAGGAGAGAGCCATTTTCAAAGCAAATGGATAAGGAGGGGCTAGCCACACAACTCCCATTAAAAACTGTAGCGCTCAGTGACTTTGAACTCCTGTTTTCTCTCCCACAGGAATCTACCAAGTTTATAACTCCTGCGGCACCACGCTCACTCTTTAAATATTGAAACCTTCTTTTTTGTTGTTTGATATTTTTCTTCTCTTCAGACTGTCCAGGAGGGATAGCTACCACTTGTTCTCAGATCACAGAGAGATTTGATTCTTTAATGGAGCCACGAATTTCCAGCATGCCTGACATCTGTATTTATAAAATCAATATTTAACAATTATTTTAGGCTTCTCTAGTCCATTCCTCAGTTTTCCCATTAGTCTTCTCAAAATAACTTGGAAAAGACCTCTTTGGGACAATTCAGAGTGTTCCTGAGACAGTACTTAGCACAACGGCAGTAATACTGCTGTTAAGGGAAGTTATCTCCTCTGTAGGAGTCTGACACCACATCCTTTCCATCCCGGAGGGCAATTTTAGAGCTATCGATTCTCTTGGTAGAAATGTTCAGACACCAGTTATTGGCTAGAAATGGCTGTTGGAAATCTCGTGATAATTTCATCTGATGTTTCAGCAAGTAAAAGTATTTTCACGGTGGGTGTAGAATGGAAGAGGGTCAGAGCTTCCTTCTGTGGGATCCTGGGGGATAGCAGATATTACATTCCAGCACAGCCTCTTCCCGTTTACGAAAACACACACACATATACACAGAAACATCTGAAGTCTGTGGTTCTGTTTGTACCCAGGAAGTCTAAATTTTCAAGTTGATCATAATGATTTAGAGAGGCTGATGGTTCAGATTCTCTTTTCTAGGACAACCTATCTGGAAGAAGTTTAGGTTGAGGTTGGTCTTTTTCAGCATAGACATGTCAAATGTGTTACCTTGAGATGCCCAAAATAAATTTGTGGTTATGGCCTGTAACCCAAGGCTATAGAGTTAGGGATATCCTGTGTCCTTGATCCACAAAGGGTCTCCCACAAATTCATAGATTCAAAGAGTTTAAAGCCAGAAGGAACCAAGAGATCATCTTGTCTGACCTCCTGTATATCACAAGCACTTAAATTTCACCCTGTTACCCCTCTATAGTTCCTTCCTTCACAGAATATTGTGAGGAAAAATTCATCAATAAAAACACGAGGTTTGTGCAAAGATCAAGGAGAGAGAATATGGCCCTTATATAATAACTTTTATTGTAGTTGGTAAAGTTACTGTTACATTCAGCATCACTCAGTCAGGGGAAAATGATACAGGATGCTTTTTAGAACCATTACTATTTCTGTTCTTTGTTTGTTTGCTCCTCTGCATATGCAGTTACGAGGGTTGCTCAATCAGGGTAGCTGAGTGCACAAATTACTCATATAAATATGTGCACTTGGTTATTTGAAAATCTATTCACTGAAGTGGCACCGTTAGGCTTCAGAGTCAACACACCATTGAGATTAATATGGGAAACACACCTCTCTTAGATTGTTTCAGAAATATTGTTTTAGACTGTGTCACATTTAGAAGGTTATCTCTGCAGCCATAAGGGCTAGATATTTATTAATATTGTAGTGGAAGTTTTCATTTTGTATAATCTGAATCGGTTATTGGGGGCTGGATATATGCATTAAGGGGGCCAGATCCAGCTTGTCAGCTATGAGTTTGACATTCCCGCTTTAGCCTTTCTCTCCCTGTCTCCCAAAGTTAAGCATGCTGCAGTATCTCTTTCTGTAGGGTAGATTTTTTAAACAAACAATATATTAATATTCACTTCAAAGGTTTCTGTCTGCAGCCAGTCTGGTAGGGGCAGGCTTCTGAGGCTTAATTTACATAGGTTAGGTTTTCCATTCATCTCACATTGGGTTCTGACAGTTCCAAACATGAGAAACCATTTAGCCATGGGGCAGGAAAACAAGACCACAGAACATACACATTCTTGGATAAAGTGCTGTAAAATATTTCAGGCAGTAAAACCTAGTATAGCCAATCCACTTTCATTGCAGAAATTGTATGAATTCTACTGAGAAAAGAACAAGTCCTAAACTATGTTCTCTTCCATCAGTCATAGAATTTTTAAAAGGCCCCATCAGCTAATTGTTTTGTTATATTTATTCTTCCATCCTCTCAGCAATGAAAGATTTTTCCCCCCTTCAAGTTTCTGATTTTGTCTTTAATTATTTAGTAAACATTTATTTCCTTTAGCCCAGGTTTGAATGGGGCAGAGCCATTTTGGCTCTGACTTTATCACATATCATTTGAATTACACATGGAGGCCCCAACTTTGATCAGGACCCCATTGTGCTAGATGGTGAGAGACAGTCCCAGCCTCAAAGAACATACAGTCTAAATAGACAAGGTAGACAAAGGAAGTATTAATGCTTTCCTTTTATAGATGAAAATTCCCACCTCTCTTGCTTTGGCCTCTTGGTAGTTAGATGAGTAAAAAGCACATATTAGTATGTTTATAAGGCAGCTGGGATTGTTGCTGTTGGACAAGTTTTTTCAATTTGCCTTTAATCTCAGTATGTTACAACCCAACCTGTGGTGTAAGAGCTATGACCAGACAGAAACATGTTCCTCCAACAACAACTTACGCTGTGAACCACAAAACTAACATGTGAATGTTATTCAAGCTAGGAAGACTTGCAAGGACCATCTATACCTCTGTTCTGCTGACTCTGATGGGTATGGGTCTCCACACAAAGATAGAATTAGGCAACCCTAATTGCCTACTGGCAGCTAGTACTTGTTATCCTTGCTTGGTTTTGCCTAGTCAATGTCATGTGTAAGCAACAACTCAGAAGCATGTATGAGAGCCCAGTAGTTCCTGGAGGGGGTCAGTGTTGAAGAGTCAGTTTTAAACATAATGCTATCATTTATTTCCAAAGGTGCTTTGGTGATTCTTGGGACAAACTCTAAGCATACCTGTCTTGGAGAATGTAGCTAGCCTCTGATGCCACTCTAATGCATGTGCAGTGTCAGCCACTTCCACAATCCAATTGGCCACTTGCCTTTGCAGCTGTACTTAACTATAAATATTTGGAGTTGTTTAGAAATCAACTGAATGTACTAAGTAAAATAAATGGTATAGTTCACATAATCCCATCATGCATATCTGAAAAGCTTGTTAAAGAATTAAGATTTATGCACTGCCCCCTATTGTCCAAGCTGCCAAACAGGAGAGTGGACAGATAGGAACTGAAATCCCAGTTCTTATTCCTTGCATGGATAAACACAAGCTACAGAACCTGTTTGCTTTGTGTCAAGAGCTCAAACAGTGATAAAAATCTGTACTGACATCATAAATACCAGAAAAGGTCAACAGTGATTTGGGTGCAGGGTCTAGTGCCCACAGCTGAAGAGGGATTGGCACATAGTCAATCCCAAATTTTAAATTTGTAAACACTCAGCGTGTAGGCTCTTTGGCACATTGCTCTGCAGATTGCCTGAGGTAACAATCTAAATTCATGCAATCTCACACCTTCTTTAGCAGAAAAAAGAAATTCCTGTGTAGGTGGTTTAGTAATCCTCCTACAAGAACTATGATCTGTACAGTTTGTATATCATATGTGTGTGTTGCTTTTAATTTTTGTGTGAAGTTAATGTGCCTGAAAGTGAGGGGCTGACAAATCAGCTGGAGTCAGGAATAGTGTAGGATGGTGCTGTTTCAGTTTCCCCCAGTGTAGCTCTCTTAAAAGTAGCTCAGCCTTGATCATTTCGGCTAATCCTTAGCCTTGGCCTTTCCTATACAAAGACAACACTCAGTCCTTTTTTGCAAGTAACTATAGTTCCCTCATGGCCAAGATGGAGTCTCCTCTGCAGATGGCTCTAGCCAAGAAAAGATGCATGTGGGATGCAGCAGGGAAATTCCCTTTCACCCCAGGGGCACCTGTCTCCCCTCCCCCACCCCCAAGGGCATGTGCGCGCACCCACCCCACACACACACACACACAATAGTACAACAAATATAGGAAAGGAAAATACTTATTTAAAGAGGAATGAATGAAGGAACACAACAGCGGGAGAAGATGGGGGAACAACATGAGGACTCACGGGCCCAGTGGTACCACAATATAAAAGGATAGACACTGAGCAATGCATTTAGACTCAGAGTTCAAGAATCCTGGGCAGAGTACCAGTTCAGCAGTGAGTCTTGGGTGCTCCTGGTCATCCTCTGCGCTAGTAAAGTTTCCCTAACAAACCCCTCTTCTGCCGCTCTCTGCAAGCCCCACAGAGTGGCTCAACCTTAACTAGCTACACCCTCCCTCCTTATTCCCAGTGCAAGGTCACAAGCCCCAGTACTCATGGCCCCAGACAGGTCTGGGTGACAGTGATACTGGGTCTGACTCCAGTTTGTCCTTCTCAGGTGATTTCTTTCGGCACAGTGCTCCTCCTGGCTCCTCTCCT